TCTTAACACATTATGGTCTTGGAAAAATTGCCAGTATATGTTTGATGAAAAATGCAAGGTACAGAACAGTTTATATAATGTTTATCTGTGTTAAAGTGTTTTGCTTTTTATGAATAGATACAGCCTCTGGGGAGTGTAATTTGAATATGAAGACACCTCCACACCTTTTCAAAACAAATTGCATTTAGCACTTACTACATGTTAGTGGTGGTTATTTGCATTATAATTACTGGATTCTTTTATCTCATGAGTTGATTTTTAATGATTGGGTCTGGAAGAGGAAGCCTATTTTGCTATAAATGCTGCTTAATGAGGGCCATACTCCTGTTGTTCATCAAAAATGCTACATATGCTTCCTAAAGTGTGTTTCTCGGAAGATGTCAGTACAAGCTCTACAAACCAAAGATGTCAAATAAAATTGGGGAACATTGGATTAAAACTAAGCAGGCTTCTTTCTTGCAGGTTTTCTTAGATTCTTAATACATATAATGTTCTTTGTGAATATTCAAGAGAGATATTTAGAATGTGGTGTTTTCCAGATTTATTTGAAAGCAGAACTTTAAACAACAATGGTTACTACTTTTTTTCTTTAAAAAATATCTTTTGAGTAGTTGTCACATTGGAAAATAGCACTTTAATACTTAGATTTTGGCTTTGTTCACCTTCATTATTCATTTTAATAAATGTATATTTTTTATTTATTTCTAAGATGTCTGTCATCTCTCTCTGCCTGCTTTTCTTCCTCTGTGATATGCTACAACTCATTAATTTGTTTCTTGGCTGATGCCTTCCCAAAGTTCTCCAAATTACACTGGGTTTCTTGGGTAAATAAGAGACTCTATAAAAGTAATGCAAAATCTCAGGGATTGATTGAATGGAAATTGAAGATTGAAGCTTCATTTGGTTCAACTTTTCCCAAAGCTTTAAAAGTTTTGCTCTTCAGGGGGAGGAATAAAATCAACTTAATGGGTAGATGGTTGAGGAATTGTGAGCTTAATGTGGAGAAGATGGCATCACCATGGGTCAGAAGATAGGGGTTCTCCCTCTGTCTTTACCATTTACCAGCTATTAAATCTTGAACAAGTCACTTAGCCTCTTATGCTTCATTTTTATCACCTGTAAAATTCAGGGATTGGGTTTAGGTCCATCCATTTTAAGGCTGAACTAAATTATTATTAATATGCTTAATGGAATCAGTGAAGATTGTAGGACCATGTAGAATATATTTTGTTCTACCCTACCATTTCCACGTGTGAATATAGTCTATCTCAGGTCACCTCTTTTGGAGAATGAAATTATTCAATAATTAGCTCATAGTCAATTGCATGTATTTGAATGAACTTGTTGAACTTTTTGAGACTTCTGTTTTGATTGATTGATTTAATTACCCTCCAGGAAAGCACTTGATTATAGCACAGGTCAATTAATATAGTGCTGCGGATAAATCCACACCTCCTGTGTAAACCCCCTGCATCTGTTTTACTGATTATAGGGAGAAGTCCATGATGTGGATATTAATTATCCTCCCCCCCCCCCCCCCCCGTCCCCTGTTCATTTGGTGGTTTTGCTGTGCTTTCTGTGTGCTCCTGCCTGCTAACAGATTTCTGAACTCAGCACAGCAGAGGTCTAAATTCACTGAATTTATGCCATCAGGAAATGAGATTTAGATTTTGTTCCTCTGTTGAAATTAGGGATGTGACCTAGCTATTACACAGAAGAGTGTGAGCCTGAATTTGATTTTATTATGTGGAGGTAGAATGTTTTGTTAGAAGGAGAGCACTTGCCTGAGCAGAGATCGGAGTGTGACTGAATGGTTAACTGCCAACCACCCCCCTTCCTCCCCCACCACCGCTTTTAGCAGGAGAAATATTTTTTTTAAATGAAATGACAACCAAGAGAATTACCAAGACCCAGTGAATTTTTTTGAGAGTCCTTTCAATTTACTTGAGTTCTGTTTAACCTTGCTTTCGATGTCATTCTGTGCATCACTGTCAAAGGACTCGGCTTCCTTTGAAGTTCCAAAGTGTTGCTGCTGGCGGAATCTTGATGGTAAAATAGAAGGGGTTCTCAGTAAAGCCCTTACTGATACACAACGATGCCTTTTTACCTAAGTAAAAGCATATGTGTGTGAGTGCCTAAAAATGTAGAGTGTAAGGGGGAGATATATGATATATGATAATGGACACTAAGATGGGAGAAGTATTTCTCATGAATTAGAGATGCCCTTTCATAATTCAAGAGTCACAGAATGAAGAAAGGCTCGAAATCACCTGAAAAGCATCTGGAAGCAATCTGTAATTCTTAAGAGGCAGTAGAAGAGCCTGTATCTCTCCAGTACATGATGATAAAACTGTTCATGTGGGATTATGGAAGAAGTAGCATTCTGTTCCCTTGTAAAACCTCTTGCAATTAAATGCCCGGAGATTTGATTATGAATTTTACTGTACTGTCCCAGATGCTTAATAAATGATTAATTGATTAGAGTAAAGAAGGCAGATTTGAAGGTACTGACGATATTTTGGTATTTTTAACTAACAAAAAATTCGACTGAATAAATCTGATGATCAAATTGGCCTTATTCAACTGATTTATGAATGGGGCAGCCTTCCGTGTAGCAGTATAAAGGAGTTTTTTTTTTTTTTTTTTTTTTTTTTTTTACAGAGCTGTAGAAGAGAAAGGTTTTTAAAGGCAGAAAGGGGGCAAAAAATGGAAATTATTAAAAAAGAATGGGTTGTTTCAGGCAAGGCTGTCACCCTAAGGGAGATGGAAGGGGGTGTATTAGGTAGATTATCTCACTATTGCTGTTTGGCTAATTCCATGTTGATTGGTTAAAGGTTACATTCCTGTTGGGATGGTGAGGGGGTTGGAAATGCAAATAGATTAGGTATTAAGTCTTGGTTTGCTCTTGGGGGGTGTTTAGCACAAGTGCCTCCATTTGGAGTCTTCTGTCTCCTTTTTAATAATATGAAGAATTTATTTGCATGTAAAATGTTACCTTTTATTTTCCATGCCTCATACTCACCCTTCTTGTCCCTGGTCACTACCACTACTGTGCCCAGTTTTAAAGATTTAGGTCACACTGAGGTCTTCCTCCCCACTCCCCATTCTTTCCCTTTTGTAAAACATTTGTTACAAGAAAAGGTATTACATTCCAAGCCTTTTAGGTATCAGTAGATCAAACGCATACATGAAACCTCTGACAGCGACTTCTAGGAAACCATCTTTTAATATATTGGACTGTTGCAGAAAAGTTACTGCATTAACGAGTGGCTCATCCTTGTTACACACAGATTTTGGAGACATATTTGTTGTACTAGACTCTTACCTTGAATAGCTCACTTTAACCTGAATTGGGAGAATATTTTACCCAATACTTATAACTGTATCAGAACAAATTGTACCTTATTTCTTGCTTTTGCATAAGTAGTTGTGATCATATGTAATTACAACATTGCACTGTGCTTTTTCTTCATATGATAAACGGCATTTTCCATTTTATCATAAACTCATAAAGTTTTTTGATGGCTGACAAAATTACAGTTAAGTAAATTATGTTGTGTCAAAATTACTTAACTCTTCCCCAGTTATTGGGCATTTAAATGTTTTTTATGCTTCAAATTTAAAAGTATACACACACATATATATTTATATATATAATTTCATTTTATTTTAATTCCAGTATAGTTCACATACAATGTAATAGTTTTAGGTACAGTATAGGGATTCAGCACTCCTATATACACCTGCTTCTCATCACCACAAGTGTACTCCTTAATTCTTATCATCTATTTAACCCATCCCCTCACTCACATCCCCTCTGGTAACTGTCAGTTTGTTCTCTGTAGTTAAGGGCCAAATTTAAGTATAGCATTTATTGTTTTCTTACAAGATGTTCTTACCTGGACATTTGTGTAGCTTCCACCTATTTTGGTCTTGAATAGTGTGGCTTCTTATGATTCTATTTAGCGTTTGCATTAGCTTCTGCCTTTTGTACTCTGTGTTTAGGGTTCATGTTTTTGCTGTGCTCTCCAGGACACTGCTAGGTATTCTTTGTGTTTCTCTCAGGTAGGATAATTTCCCAAAGTTCTTCAGACCCCTGTATTTCTGGCTGTACAGTAGGGATTAAACCATCCATTTGTGTTGTGAAATTTATGTTCCCAGTTAGGCCTGATGAGAGGAGATGCGTGTCTAAGACCAAAGTATACATGTTGCTCATGGGCTGGCAAAAAACCCCCAGAACTTTTAATTGTCAAAGTCAGCGTAGGGTAGAGGCACCAGGGAATATTTTGGGAGTATTGCACACTTTTAAAAAGTTGATTGTGGAAGTCGTTTGTGGCCCTGCCTTTACTATTCGGTATTGTGTTGTTATTGTCTTGATACAGGGCTGCTGCTGCATGGGTATGGATTTATTTAGTTTCATGTTTTTTTCCCTATTCTGCAAGAAGTCTATGGTTATGTAACATCTCTTAGACAATGGAGGAATCTTCTACTTTCTGCTGCCCAGAGGGTGTCTTTCTTTTTTATTTTATTTTATTTTTTTTTTAAATGTTTTATTTATTTCTAGGAGAGAGAGAGAGAGGGGGAGAGAGAGAGAGAGAGAGAGACAGCATGAGCAGGGGAGGGTCAGAGAGAGAGGGAGACACAGACTCTGAAACAGGCTCCAGGCTCTGAGCTGGCAGTCAGCACAGAGCCCGACGCGGGGCTCGAACCCACGAACCGCGAGATCATGACCTAAGCGAAAGTCGGACGCTTAACCGACTAAGCCACCCAGGCGCCCCTCAGAGGGTGTCTTTCATTTTTGGCTAACATTCAGATGTTTAAGTAAAAATTTACTTTTTGCGTATAATTTTCTTTTTGATAAAGAGAAGTGAGATCTGAGGAGAACCCACTCAGTGCACCACAGATGGTGGGGAAAGGGAGGGGAGAAAAATTAGAGAATCTTAGGCTGGATTTTTGCAGTTTATTTATGATGGTGGGGTATTTTTTATTCCTTTCTATAGATTTCCGAAGTCTTCTGGGAGTTCCCAACAGTCCCAAGTTTGGAGAAATCTTTTCCGCCCCTCTGATAGCGTGAAGTGAGCAAATACAGCCCAGCACCAGGCTACTGAAGAGAGCAGTCACAGGTAATGTCTTCTCATTACTATTAATAGGCGTTCAGTACTGTTCAGTAACAGGGTTAAAAAAAAAAACAAACGCTACTTGAACTTACACATCCAAGTGAACATTATCTTGTTCAAAATAGTTTGAGAGGCTATTTTATACTCAAAACATTATAATTTATTTATGTGGTTTTTGGATCTGCATCTTGATCCTTTAGTAGCATTCTTTTTTTTCGTTTTTAATTTTTTAACATTTATTCAGTTTTTTGAGAGGCAGACTGAGCACGAGTGGGGTAGGGGCAGAGACAGAGGGAGACACAGAATCTGAAGCAGGCTCCAGGCTCTGAGCTGTGAGCTGTCAGCACAGAGCCCGAACCCACGTGGGGCTCGAACCCACATGATCATGACCTGAACCAAAGTCCAAAGCTTAATCGACTGAGCCACCCAGGCACCCTCTCTGCTAGCACTCTTAAACATCCTATTTTCTGTGGTGGCACATCTCAACCCTGTGGGGTGTGTTTGGGAAGTAGTCTAAACTTCTTTAGAGCTAGGGTGTTGAATCTCTGGGGTCTAATTTTGATCCAAACCTAGAAGGTGCAATAACATAATGAAAACCGTTTTCCTTTTTGTAATTTGTGTTTGAAGGCTTATACACTGTATTAAAAGTTAATTCTAAGAAGAGGTGACTCTAAGTTTCAAACAATGGTAGTATTGTTAAAATAGGCAGTAGGGCTTGTAGCTTACAGAGAAGCACGCGTGCTATCTATTTGACTATGTATATGCTGGTATTCTTTCTTATTAAAATCAATCAGTCTGCATTGTAGAAAGGGTTCCTGTGTTAATGAGGCTAAATAAGATGGGATCTAAACTTCCCTATAAGGTATACCTCTGAACCATTGTAATTTGCGTCTTACTGATAATGTGTCTTGCCTTGCTTTTCCAAGTCTTACTAGGGTACTTGTTTAAAATGCACATTAAGGGAATGTAAACTGGTACAGCCCCTCTGGAAAACAGTGTGGAGGTTCCTCAGGAAACTAACAATAGAACTCCCTTATGACCCAGCAATAGCACTGCTAGGAATTTACCCAAGGGATATAGAAATGCTGAGGCATAGGAGCACATGGACCCCAATGTTCATAGCAGCACTCTCCACAATAGCTAAAACATGGAAAGAGCCTAAGTGTCCATCAACAGACGAACGGATCAAGAAGATGTGGTTTATCTATACCATGGAATACTACATGGCAATGAGAAGCAATGAAATCTGGCCATGTGTAGCAACATGGATGGACCTTGAGGGTGTTATGCTGAGCGAAATAAGTCAGGCAGAGAAGGA